TTCAACGCGTCGTGCCGAACTAGGAATGGCACGTCGTTGAATGACTTTTTATTAATAGGGCCCAAATTACAGCAAGATCTACCTGCCGTGTTATCGCGATGGCGACGGTGGAGCTTCGTTTGTACGGCCGACATCGCCAAGATGTTTCGGCAAATTCAAATTCATGAGCAAGATTCAGACTACCAAAGAATTCTTTGGCGTCCTCAAGCGGAAGCGCCCGTTCGACATTTTCGCTTGTTAACGGTCACTTACGGTCTCGCTCCCGCTCCGTATCTCGCAATGCGAGTATTGAAACAGCTCGCCCTTGACGAGGGAGAAAAGTTCAAGGCCGCGGTTCCTATCCTAGGAGAGTCTATTTATGTAGACGACGCCCTGTTTGGCGCGGATGATATAAAATCTTTAAAAAATACTCGCGTTCAATTGATGCAGTTAATGGAAAAGGGGGGATTTCAATTAAGGAAATGGGCATCAAATTCGATCGAACTTCTCAAGGATTTGTCTGTTGACCAATCGGAAGTAACCGATCATCTAATCCTGACGGAAGATTCACTTAAAGTTCTCGGCCTGTCATGGATGCCTAACGAAGACGTGTTTCGCTTGAGAGATCGTGTCTAATTGCGCGATCAACAGATCTTTTGCTGTCGACATTTTTTTTTTTTTTGAGCAACGTCAGTAGTACAGACGGAAAGATTCGCGGACGCTTCCTCTATCGAACGCGACGCGTATGTCTCAAGTTTGACTTGAGACCATTGATTATGTCAGGCGCGTGAACGGCGCGGACGGCAAGAGTTCGCGGACGACCTTGTTGTCGAAACGCGACGAATTTGTCTCAAAAGAGACCACTGAGTATGTCGGGCGCGTGAACGGCGCCGACGGCACGAGTTCGCGAACGACCTGACTGTCGAACGCAACGAATTTGTCTCAAAAGAGACCACTGAGTATGTCGGGCGCGTGAACGGCGCCGACGGCACGAGTTCGCGAACGACCTGACTGTCGAACGCGACGAATTTGTCTCGAAAGAGACCACTAAGTATGTCGGGCGCGTGAACGGCGCCGACGGCACGAGTTCGCGAACGACCTGACTGTCGAACGCGACGAATTTGTCTCGAAAGAGACCACTAAGTTTCGTCTCACGAGTCGAATTGGGTTTTGACGACGTGAATCGGAGTCTACCCGTACACTTGTTTCTCTAAAGCGAACTCGACACTTGGTTCCTGTCTCTTCTTTTGCACACTCGTTTGTAAGACGATGTGCTTCTATTGTCCACCCGCGCTTTTTCACTGTCCGCGAGAGTCACACGAGAATCACTTTCTCCGTTTTACCTTATCGTCCTCGTTATCTTCACAATCCGGCTCGAAGGACCATTTTACTTCTGTGCGAGAACCTTCGATTTGTTTTAATTTTCCGCGCAGAGGCAAATTTATTTATTTATAAGTCGGCTCGTAGATACGAAGGAGACTGGATGCGGAGAAAATTGTAAAGGTGGAGAAATTCACTTTTGAGGCAAAGCAGTTTTATTCAAAACTCTCGCAGACAAGATTAAAACGCGGAAGTTCGCTCTAGAACGAGATAAATTCGCGCGATGCTCTTTTCGCTGATATACACGGAGACGTCTCTTCAGTTCAGACTCCTCGAGTAGACTCATTTTTGATCCTCGCGGAATTCGGCAGCTAAGGGGCGATCGATCATCCGATCGACGCGTGGCACACGTGCTGAAATCCTATTCGCGGACGATTGCCCCATCACGCTCCGAAACGCGAGACAAAGGCGAGTTTTTGTAGATTCCTCGCTCGCGGAATCGAAAACAACCGGAATAACATCTCGGCGTCGAATATTTTCAATTTCTACGATTGACCTTGCTTCGTCGCTCCGAAAATACGTGACAATTTTAAACACAAGTTGACGCGCAATTAGCTGCGTTCTTCATCGACCTACGAGCCAAGTGATTCACCGTTCAGGGTAATCGTTCGAAATTTTTGCGTTCGCGAAGAAACGCGCTTCTCGTTCAACCATCGTGGTCTCTTCTCTCGGACGAGAGAGAGAGAAAGAATAATCGTGGTGGCTCTTCGATCAGGCTGTCCGAGGACGCGCGCGGACCGCCGCCTCCCGCCAGGGAAGGCTACGGCACAAAGGTAGAGTTGTGTGTTTCTCGATCGGAGCGTCTCTCCCGCAACGGGAGAGCCGGGGCGGAAGCTTTTTGAAGAAACCGTCGGACCGACACAGTTGACAGATAGTCGAAATATCATCGATCCTTCCTGTATTATACAGGGTGATTCAAAACAACCGTTTGTCTTTAAAATGTCGTATTCCTGACTCAATTTAAAGACGATTTTTCCTTTGCCAAAATTTTATCCGAAGCTTAGTTTTTGAAATATAAAAAGAAATAGTTAGCGAATTACAGCACGAGTACGGGCGGTAATCAGGAGCGGCGCACCACATTATCCGACGCGGGCGATTACGTGGGCGCTCGAAGCGATCAGCTGTTTGTTACACGCGGCGTTTTGTGTGTGTGTGTGTGTGTGTGTGTGTGCGCGTGTGTGTGTACGCGTATACACACACACACACACACTCTCTCTCTCTCTCTCTCACTGATTCTTACCTTGTAGAGATGTTTGATGTCCTTTGACGAATAATTGTTGCCTGACTGGATACAATCCGATATTGACACACTGTGACACACTGCATGATGAAATCATTTTTTTGTAATAAATTCTATTGACACTTTGACTCACGCACTTGATTAAAAATTATTGTAATAAATAACTGATTACAAATTACAACACATAATCACAATCTGAGAGAATTTTCTCTTAGAATTTGCCCTGAAAATTGTGGTAATCGTAGGATAATATTGTATGGAAAAAATTTTATTAGAATTCCTCTAATTAATATTTATCACATTCAAAATAATAATATCTATCACAATAAAATATGAAACATGTTTTATTAATTTTACTAAACCGTAAAGTAAAATTAATGAAATATATTTTATATTTTATTGTGATTGTTTTTCCTTTTATTTAATTTTAATAACAGTAATTTTATTGTATCATATCAGATTTGTACACTGTATCTGGTTCCGACGCTTCGGACCCTTTTGATAGACTATTGAATACGTGATTGAGGTTCGATTGTCGTTCTTCAAGAACAAAGAAAGACAGGATATCGCGGATCCGTTACAAGCATACCGCTTTATCGTTGGGTGCTCTTGACTGTGTCTTTGGGCTAACTGAACTCTTTTTTTAACCTCGGGGAAGACAACCGATTCGGAATCACGAGCTTTGCATGAACTCGGCGCGTGACACGCGCGCGGCTAATCGTGATTCGCTGGCCGGTTGACCTGTCGATGTCCGCTCGAGGTGCCAAACAAAGTCGATCGTTGGTCGAGCCTTGAGTCCCTGGCTTCGACTCGGAACCAGAACAATATATATATATATATTTTTTTTCTCGACAGCTTTGTTCCAAGTTTTAAACATACCGCCCGCCTCGCATGCGAACCGATGCGAAATCATTCCACAGGTTTGAGTCGTTATAATGTGTCAAAATGAGCAATCGATGTTAAACTCGCTGAATGACCTTTGAAAGGGCGAAACCTTATAATCTTCGCGACGACGTGACTATGTGACAACAAATAAAATTTGCGAACAATGAGCACAGCTTGCTTAGAACGTGCGAAGTATTTACTTTCTCGAAATTTCGAGTGCAAATAGGGACGGATATCTATACGAAGGTCGTCCGTTCGGATAACACAGTTATCTTCAACCGAAAGACCAGCGAACCGCTGTTGCAAACAAATACAAACTCTTCCCTAAATCTAGATTTAATCCACTTACAAATTTTCGTATAATACGGAATTAATTATCACAATTAATCAGGAGACGGCAAAGCAGCGTGATTGGTCGCTTGAACGAGGAGCACGCGGTGCGTATCGTTACTACCCGAACGAGCCCGTCGGATCCGGGGTGGATCTGTGTAACTCGAGCGAGTTCCCACTTACTCGGAGGGAGCAGTGGGTTCTTTACGAGCACAAGCTCACCGACGCAAAAACTCGCAGTCTTATCCTTCCATTTGCTTCGTTGCTGCAACGAATGCAAATAGTCAAGAGACCAAGCACGCCAGACTCGCTCGTGCATTGCGTTGACGAGCTGCCATCGAGAGAGTCGATTCTCGTTTACCGCGAGTACTGATTCTTCCGGTACTGCGGTTATTGATCGACCTATAAGAAAATGACCCGGCGTGAGTGCTAACAAATCGCTCGGGTCGTCGTTTAACGCAGCAATGGGACGCGAATTGAGACATGCCTCGACTCTGCAAAGTAGTGTTGCAAATTCGACCTGAGACAAGGTACGCGGACCCACTACCTTTTTCAAGTGCGTTTTTAGACTTTATTCCCGCTTCCCACAGACCGCTAAAGTGCGGTGCTGCGGCTGGGATGAAATGCCATTCCACTCGGTCGTTTGCAAGAGTGGCTCGTAGCGAAATGTCGTTGGTCAATTTGTCAAAAGCCGTTTTTAATTCCCGGTCCGCCCCGTGAAAGTTCGTGCTGTTGTCGCTGTAGAGTTTTTGTGGCAATCCTCGTCGACTAACGAATCTTCGAAAGACCGCTATAAATCCCGCAGAGGAATAATCCTCAACGAGCTCTATGTGGATAGCCTTCGTCACAAGACAGATAAACAAGGCGATGTAACTTTTACGTGTCTTTTGTCCTCTACCGACTAATGAAGTAACAAGGAACGGCCCGGCGTAATCTACTTTCGTATGCGTGAACGGAGATGATGGATTTACGCGAGGGGAGGGAAGGTCTCCTATAAGTTGATTTGATAGTTTGTTCGCGTAACGAGCACACACGACACATTGTCTAATGCAATGTTTTACGGCATTACGACAACTTAATATCCAATATTTTTGGCAGAGTGTTCTAAGCACAAGTTGAGTTCCTCCATGAAGTGAGCTTCGGTGCGTTTGATCAATTAATAACTCGGCTACTCGACCCCGAGGAATTAAGATAGGGTGTTGTTCCTCGAAGGATAGTGCGAATTCCGTAACCGCCCGCCGAAACGTAGTAAGGAATCTTTTCTTATGAAAGGATTAAGAGGCTTCAGTGGGCTCTTTCGCGGAAGGTTTTCTTCTCTCTTTAATGCTTTGAGTTCGGAGTCGAACGACTTCCTCTGCGTATATGAGACCCAAAACATTTCCGCGCGTTTAAGTTCGTCCGCGTTAAGAGACAACGCAACATTAGCTTCAAAATTCCTTTGTTTAGCGGAGCGGGATATAAATCTGTAAGCGTAGGCTGTCACTCGAATGAGCTTAGTCCAGGAGGAGTATCTATAAGGGAGATCCCATTCCGGTGTACCTTCCACGTGAAGGACAGTGGACTTTCGACTTTCCGAGTGTATTTGCTTAGTTAACTCCGTGGAGATCGGAGAAGCAATGTTATGTGGCGGCCACGCTGTTGAAGGCCATTGAAGCCAAGGCGGGCCCGCCCACCATAACGGATGTGAGACTAACTTGGATGCGTACAACCCTCTGGATGCACAGTCGGCCGGATTGTCTTTGGACGGTACGTGATTCCATTTGGCCGAGGGTAGATTACACTGCACCTCGGATACTCTGTTTGCTACGTACGTAGTCCATTTCGATGGATGTTGGCGTAACCATGCCAACGCGATCGTGGAGTCCGTCCAACAATGGATCGGACAATGAATAATATTTAATGACTTAATTACCCACTTAACGAGTCGACTCAATAAAACGACGGCGTTGAGCTCGAGCCGCGGAATGCTAACAGTCTTGACGGGAGCCACCTTCGACTTCGCAACGATCAAGCTAACACGGTATTCCGAAAGAGAATGGAAAACGCGCAAATATACGACCGTAGCGTACGCGCGATTTGAAGCGTCGGCGAATCCATGTATTTCTAACGCGAGATTATCAGGGCTCTGACCCGTCCACCGAGGAATTCTAACGGATTCTAATTGCGGGAACTCGGAAGCGAAAGCATTCCACCGTTGACTCAATTCGTTCGGAAGCGGAGCATCCCAGTCGCAATGTAAAAGCCATAGCTCTTGCAGAATGATTTTTGCGTTTATTACAACCGGCGCAGCCCATCCGAGGGGGTCATACAAGCTCGCGATGCACGACAGGATTGAACGCTTAGTTAACGCGGTAGGAAAATTAAATTTCACTGTAAGGCGGAAGGAGTCTTCCGTAGGGAGCCATGATAATCCGAGTATTTTCAACGTTTCGTCCTTTAGGATAAGGTGATCGGTAACGTCCGATTGATCGCTGGATAAATCGTCAAGAAGCTCGCTACAGTTTGAAGCCCATTTACGAAGTGAAAAACCTCCGCGCCTCATTAGCTCAGCGAGCTGAGTTCGCCTATTTATTAACGAATCGATATCGTTTGCTCCGAACAATGCGTCGTCCACGTAAATGGAATCATTGACGATCGGTACCGCGGCAGGAAACTTTGCACCTTCATCAAGCGCGAGCTGTCGAAGCACGCGCATCGAAAGATAAGGTGCCGATGCTAAACCATACGTCACTGTACAGGCATTGTCCGGAAAGTAATGCGTCGCATTTTTTTGTGACGCGACTATACATCGCAGAGCGATGGGACCGGTTGGGGAGGAAGGGGGGTACCCTTAGCTTTCCAACGGTAGGTCGCTCAATTGTTTCCATGCGCTTGGAGGGTTAGGACGGCTTATTCTGTGAACCTCTGCTTAGTGGTCGCGTCGAACTTGTGATGGAGAGAACGATAGAGCAACGCTATGCGATAAAGTTTTGCGTGAAGCTGGACAAGACGCCGCTGGAAACTTTTGAAATGCTCAAGAAAGTTTTCGGGGACGATTGCCTTTCCAAATCGCAGTCAAACAGATGGCACAAGATGTTTAGAGAAGGTCGGAAGGAGGTCGCCGACGAGGCCCGCGCAGGACGCCCGTCAACATCGCGAACGGACGACAATGTGACTCGTGTGCGCCAATTATTGAATTCAGACCGTCGAATGAATGTTCGCTTAATGTCGGAATTATTGAACTTGCCGAAAACGATTGTTCACGAGATTGTATCGGAAGACTTGGCCATGCGGAAGATTTGCGCAAAACTTGTGCCCAGAGTGTTGACCGATGCGCAAAAGCAACACCGAGTGGAAGTTTGTGAAGAACTCAAGCAACTCTGTGCAGATAATCCCATTTCCTGAACAACGTTATCACTGGGGATGAGTCATGGGTCTTTCAGTACGATCCGGAGTCAAAGAGGCAGAGTGCGGAATGGCACACGACGTCGTCGCCGCGCCAGAAGAAGGCTCGCATGAGCAAGTCCCGGGTGAAGTCAATGCTCATTGTTTTTTTGATGCAAAGGGGATAGTGCACCATGAATTCGTACCCCCGGCCAGACTGTCAACGCTCAATTTTACAAGGAAGTGCTTCAGAGACTGAATCACAGGATCGCCCGCGTCCGAAAGGAGATCCGCGCTTCATGGAAACTCCATCACGACAACGCGCCGGCTCACACCGCCTTTGTTATTACGGCCTACCTGACCCGGATCGGTGTGGCAACGGTGCCGCAGCCGCCTACAGTCCCGACTTGGCCCCGGCGGACTTTTTTTTATTTCCTCGGCTGAAAAGGGAGCTCAAAGGACAACAGCTCGAGTCGGTTGACAACGTACAAGCTACTTCGACGGCCTCCCTGAACAGCATCCCAGTCAAGGAGTTCCAGAAATCTTATGACGCATGGAAATCGCGTTGGCAAAAATGTATTGACGCAGAAGGGTCATACTTCGAACAATTTTAAGTTGTTTTACCTATGCGATCAATAAATTCTTTTTTAAAAAAATGCGACGCATTACTTTCCGGACAAACCCTGTAAGAAGGCGAAAATGAGTAAGCGGAGCGTCATCCGTCGGACGTCACAGGATTCTTTGGTAATCGACGTCTCGCGGATGTACGCGTATTTGTCGAAACATCTGGCGATGTCTGCCGTATAAACCAAGCGCCATGCACGCCAACGCAATAAGACGGCAGGGAGATCCTGCTGCAACTTTGGCCCGATGAGCAAATGGTCGTTAAGTGACGTGCCATTCCGGGTTTTACACGACGCGTTAAATACGACTCGAAGCTTTGTGGTGCAACTATCCTCTCTTATTACTGGATAATGGGGAATATAAATCGGTATATTCTCAGTGGGTTCGGACTCGCCAACGCGAGTCATATGTCCAAGGGCCTCGTATTCTGTAAGAAAGTCTCTGTATAGCGAACAGAGATCGGATTTTGAATTCAATTTATTTTCCAGACGACCGTACAATGTACGCGCTATGGAGAGAGATTCCCCGATATCGATCGGCAAAGCATTTTTGAAAAGTAATCTCACGACATAACGACCGTCAGGATCACGACTGTGCGTTTGAGCGAAATGAGATTCGCATTTTTCTTCCTCCTCCGTGAGGGAAGTTGGCGTGGGAATCTCTTTGTCCTCCCAGAATTTCTGGAGGAGAGAGTCCACATCCAGCGCGGATACGCAATTCAAAACAGTTACTTCTTGTGAAGTAGTTTCTTTACTTCCGGTCGGTCCAGAGATTATCCAACCGAACGAGGTCGATTGGGCAGTGGGCGCTCCATAGGGACCCTGTCTCAGGTCGCGCAATAAGAGCGAACCGTACACGTCCGCGCCGATCAGCATGTGAATCTGATGTCGACTAGATGGATCCGGATATGCTAGTGAAAGGCCCTGTAAATGAGGCCATGATTCTATAGGCCGAATTCGCGACGTGGCGTACGAAGTTATTCGCGGGAATACATACGCAGTGACCGGAAAAACAGGATTCAATTTTTCGCACGGCGTCAAATTTAGCGAAACTCTCGATCGCGCAGAACCGGCATATTTCTCCCCGAAACCTTTTATTTGAAGATCGGTCCTCTGTCGTTTAGTGCGAAGCGTTTGACTCAATGCTTCGGAAATAAAGCTAAAATTAGACCCTTGATCTAATAAAGCGCGGACCTTAAAACATCTTCCTTCAGAAGTGTGTATGTCAACCCACGCGGTCGCGAGAAGAACGGTGGGCATCGTGGTATTCTAAGGTTTGAGAGTTTGCACGCTGGCGACGGCGGCGTCGCCGACTACGACAGTCTTACTCGTGGTAGTAGACGCATTAACGCTCGAATTCGATAAACGGGAATTTTCCGCTGTGTCCTTATTTTGATCACTCTCATTGTGTAACAATGTGTTATGAGAGCGTTGACAATGAGCGCATCGAATTTTGCTCGAGCATTTCGGCGTGAAATGTCCCGCTCGCAAACAATTGAAGCAGACCCGATTCTGTCGCGCGATGACATGCCGCTATGTCGCGTTTTTCCGACGAAATTCCTCGCACTTCATTACCGAATGACTGCCGGAACAGCAAATGCACTTAATCGCGGAAAGATTATGAACGGAGGACTGCGTTTTGTCACTCTTAGAATTGACGATTACTTTAGGATTGTCGGAGAAGTCCGACAGACCTCGTATTCGAAGCGTGAGGAATTCATGAATATCCTTGTACGAAGGAAGCTCGCGACTTGACGAAATTTTTAAATTCCATGTGTCATCCCACTCGCGTACCGGCCGCTTTAGATTAGTGAGAGCCGCTAGAGATGCGGACACGGTATCTCTCAACTTTCGCATTTCCGCGACGTTTTCCGCCTTCATTGTCGGTAGGCACATGAAGGCGTGAATGTGAGTATGGATCAACGTAAGTTGATCATCATACTCGTCAATCAACAACTGCCAGACGGACTCATAATTAGCGTCGGAAATCTTTAAATTACTAATAATCGAGGCAGCGTCACTGATGACGCTCGTTTTGAGGTAATGAAATTTCTGCGTGTTCGAGAGAGAATCATTACTCGCGACAAGAGACTCGAAAGTATTTTTAAAACTCCCATTCGGAGAACTTGCCCGAAAACTTCGGAAGTGAGATCCGTGGCAACTGAAAATTGTGATTATGAATGCCCTCGCGAATTGAAGAATCAGTACTGTGTTCTAACAACGGAGATTGATTAATTGAGAATCGACTTATCGTATCGCGAAGGAGGTCGGCCGTGTCGTGGTAGATCTCCTCGGCGCTCAGGAAGTCTCCATTCAGGAAATACGAGACAGTCTTCTGCTCCTCCGAAGTTGTGGCTTGCAGCAGCTTGACGTGTAGCCCTCGACAGGAAGTCCAAAGCGTTTCCAGCGTTGCAAGACGCCCCTGCGTCTTTGCTAATGTAACATTAGCTTTCGCTAATTTCTTGAAGTTAACGAGAACTCGCTTTATCGAGTCGATTGTTTCAACTTGCGAGATGAGCAAATTTCTTAATTCTGCCATTATTTCTTCGTTAATGAGCTATTAATAGTGACTTGATCGAAGGTACCGGGCTCGTGAGCACGGTGCCGACGGCAACGAATGCGCGACGACTTTTGGTCGAATCGCGACACTGTTATGTCGCTTAAGAATACACGGGATATGCCGGGGAGCGTTACCGCTGCGCCGACGGCAACCTTTCCGCGGATGTTTTCTTATCGACAAGCGGATTTCTCCGGTGCCTGAAGAATTAACGCCGTGACGTTCAATTGCCACGCCGACGGCGTCGAACTCGCGACGATTCCCTTTTAATCGTCGCGTCCAGTCTCGATTAGCACAGTGTATGATGTTCCGGGCGTGTTATCGACGCCGACGGCAACACCTTCGCGGAATACTTCACTTCGTTCCGCGAAACACGATGTAATTTTGACTTTGAGTTCACGAATTGTTTCCACCACCAGACCCCCGCGTTTGAACCTTGTAAATGAACTCGCGAATAAGGCGCGAAGCTCAACATTTAGATTCCCGCGGGAATGTTCGTTAAAGTTAACTCCACGACGGGAAAATAACTCCACTTGTCGCTCAAGCAGAGTGAGTGAGCCCAGAGAGAAAACCCGTTGGATAGTGAACGCGACACTGTCTTTGTTCTTCTTCTGCACTCATTCGATTGTAAAACGAGGAGTCACAGTCCGACGTCTCACTGACAATGTTCACCCGTTCCGTCTCACAACGCGAATCTCGCGTAGTTTGATTATCCGTATGATCGGGTCAACGAAAAATCCGGCTCGAAGGACCAATGTTTTTCCTTTTATTTAATTTTAATAACAGTAATTTTATTGTATCATATCAGATTTGTACACTGTATCTGGTTCCGACGCTTCGGACCCTTTTGATAGACTATTGAATACGTGATTGAGGTTCGATTGTCGTTCTTCAAGAACAAAGAAAGACAGGATATCGCGGATCCGTTACAAGCATACCGCTTTATCGTTGGGTGCTCTCGACTGTGTCTTTGGGCTAACTGAACTCCCTTTTTAACCTCGGGGAAGACAACCGATTCGGAATCACGAGCTTTGCATGAACTCGGCGCGTGACACGCGCGCGGCTAATCGTGATTCGCTGGCCGGTTGACCTGTCGATGTCCGCTCGAGGTGCCAAACAAAGTCGATCGTTGGTCGAGCCTTGAGTCCCTGGCTTCGACTCGGAACCAGAACAATATATATATATATATTTTTTTTCTCGACAGCTTTGTTCCAAGTTTTAAACAGTGATAAATATTATTATTTTGAATGTGATAATTATTAATCAGAGAAATTCTAATAAAATTCTTTTCATACCATATTCTCTTACAATTACCATAACTTTTAGGGTAAATTCTAAGAGAAAATTCTCTCAGTGTTTTGATTAATTATTAAAAATTACTTGTAAAAACGCGCGGCGCGCACAGCACACGTTGCTCGATGCGGACGGCAATAGTTTACACGGCAAAGACACGACAATCATAATCACAATCTAAGAGAATTTTTCTTAGAATTTACCTAGAAAATTATGGTAATCGTAGGACATTATGATGTGTGTATAAGATTTAACGTTGTAGGATGCCGGGTTAACGTGATCAAATGATTGTACGCGTTTTGAAACGGTTTAAATTAGTTTATTCACTTTCTACAAGTTCGTCGCGTACCGAGACTTATGTTTCTCGGCGCTCGCTCTCTCGAGGACTGACTCGAGGGCTGCGCGAATTTCGGAGCTCGCGTAGGGCGGCAGCCGATCGGGGTCCTCGATTGGACCATCAGAAAATCAGGCGATGTACACACGCCAATTAGCGGCGAGTGTACACGTTGGTTTCACGTGTTTCCTTGGCGTAAACACTAAGGAATTTAACAAAAAACATTCTAGAAAATTCGATCGTCCTCGAGGATTCGATCCGAAGAACGAATCTTCAACATACCGCCCGCCTCGTATGCGAACGAATGCGAAATAAACTTAAACGAAGCGGGAGCGAATCGTCGAGGAAGATGATTACAAAAACATACAGGTGAAGACGACTCGCACTGAGAAAGTCGTCTCGAAGATTACATAACTCTTACAAGTTAGCGGCTTCATCCGTTGCGGACGCGTTAGAGTTATCACGTATTGGCAGTCGGCATAATTGCGCAATAGGTCGTTTCAATGTGGACCGTGCGGTGCGTATGGTCACAACTCGAACGAGTCCATCAGATCCGGGATGGATTTGCTGTACTCGGGCAAGCTCCCATTTGCTCGGAGGGAACACGGGACTTTTAACTAATACTAATTCGCTTATTGCGAAGTTAGGAGACTGCTTGCACCACCTGTTTCGCTGTTGAAGCGAATGTAAATAATCCTGTGACCAGGCACGCCACACGGTTTCCTGCATGGCACGGACTAGTTGCCATCGCGAGAGCCTACGCGGGTCGATCGCGAGTACCGATTCCTCCGGAACGGCTACGAGGGGCCGTCCAATCAGAAAGTGACCCGGGGTAAGCGCCGACAAGTCACCCGGGTCGTCCCTAAGCGGAGCGATTGGTCGCGAGTTAAGGCACGCTTCTATTTTACATAGAAGCGTCGCGAGTTCAGCCCTCGAAAGTGTGTGGGAACCAACAGCGCGCCTCAGATGCGTTTTAAGGCTCTTGACTCCGGCCTCCCAAAGGCCGCCGAAATGTGGAGCGGCGGAGGGAATGAAATGCCAGTTCACTCCGTCGCCTGCGAGTGCGTTTCGCAATTCAGCATCCTTCCATAAGGATTGAAAGTGTCGATGAAGTTCGTGGTTGGCTCCATGAAAATTTGTGCCGTTGTCGCTATACATGTGACGCGGCAGACCTCTTCGGCTAGCGAACTTCTGATAGGCTGCAAGAAAGCCGGGCGTGGAGTAATCTTCCACTAATTCGAGGTGAATCGCCCTTGTAGCAAGACAAACAAACAGAGCGATATATACCTTTCTGGCCTTTTGCCCTCTGCCGACGAATGAAATTACGTGGAGTGGGCCGGCGTAATCAACCCCACAATGAGTAAAAGGCGCCGAAGGGGTGACACGAGCGGCTGGAAGGTCGCCCATGAACTGAGAAGACAATTTAGCCGCGTGACGAGTGCAGACTACACATTTTCGAATGTGCGCCTTTACTGAGCTGCGGCCTCCAATGATCCAGTATCGCTGACGCAGCACACGGAGTACTAGCTGTGTCCCCCCGTGGAGCGTGGATTTATGAGCGCGATCAATTAAGAGATCGGATAAGTGATGTTTCGGAATTATTATAGGATGTTGCTCGTCATAGCTGAGCGCGGAATTCGTCAACCGCCCGCCAAGACGGAGTAAAGAGTCCTCTCCTAGAAAAGGACTCAATTTGCTCAACGAGCTCGAATGCGGCATGGTGCCGTTATTCTTTAGTGAGCGCGTTTCCCGCTCGAAGAATCTCTGTTGCAGATAGCGCAACCAGAAGATTTCCGCCCTCCTAAACTCATCGGCGTTCAGAAGGGGGAAGAGTTGGGAGCGAGACGCGCTCTTTTCTTTTACACGAAGAATAAAGCGATTCATATAGGCAGTCACGCGGACAAGCTTGGTCCAAGTGGAGAACCTATATGGGAGTTCCCATTCCTCGGCCTCTTGAACATGGAACGTCACAGGCCGTCTTCTTTCCACCGACACTTGCTGATCGGTGGCAGTGTCGAGCGGAGCTGAGACATTCAGAATCGGCCACGCAGTCGATGGCTTCTGAAGCCATCGTGG